ACCTTTACAATGTCATTGCACATTCTTTTCCTCTATGCACACTGTGGAACAGCCAAACTGATCTTTTGGATTTCTTCATGCACAACAAACCATGTCTGTCCTCTCTGCCTGAAATATTCTTCCTTTTCATCTCTGTATTTGAGAATCCCTAGTTTCCTTCAAGGCTACTCTCAAGCTCTACCTTCTATGTGAGGCCTTTTCTAATGCTCCAACTGCTAATTCCTCTCCCACCTCTTTTCCTTCAAATCACCTTGAATCTATTTTGTATAGCTGTGCATATTGTCTCCTCTGACTGATCTGTAAGTTCCTTTAGGGCAGGAATGATTTTTTCTTCTTCATTTTTGTGTCTTTCTAGCCCCAGCACAAAACACAGTTCTTGTCACATAGTATGTGCTTTTAAGTGCTTGTTGGATGGCAGATTGATTCTACCTTGCTGTCTCTTTGTAATGCATTTGGTTCTGTTGAGTAGTCTTGGCACCTATGCATGAACCACTCATTTGTTTCAGTTAAAGCTCCAGGTCTAGAATAGACCAACCTGTGGTTTGTCTTCTCTTCTCCCACTAACCTATGCTCACTTATTGTGATGTCCTTTGAAAATGTAGAAGACAAATCTGTGCCCTCCATCATTTTTTCTCACCTGCATTCAGGAACCTGAAGGAAATCAGGAAAGTGGCAGTAAACAGGGCAATTCTGATTTCTGTTTTGAGCTAGGAGTCCTGGGAGGAGAACATAGTGACCTCTCTAATACATTTGGTAATTCTTGCAGCTATGCTACAGGAATACTGGGGAAAACCCCAGTAATTAAGTAACAATAAAAGCATATCTTTGTCTTGCAAAATTCTTTTCCATAGTCGTCTATGTATATTTTCCCAGACCAGGTAATATTAAAATCCTGGGAATGTCTTCTGTTCCTTAATTGAAGAGGCAGCACACTGTAGTGGAAAGGACATGAAGGCAGGAATTAGAAGACTCAGGCTCTCATCCTAGCTATAGTGCTAAGTTACTATGTGACATTAGTCAATTGTCACCTCTACTATGGGTCTGAGTTTCCCCATTAGTCAAACGAAGAGTTTAGATTAAATGAACTTTCCCAGCTCTGTATGAGGGTGCAGTGAAATGGCGATATGATCACACTGCTTCTGTAATACACACACCAGATCTAAAACATCTAAACAAGTGTTGTTGTCTTATTCAGAGTTTCACCTTGGGAAACAGTGCACTTATTATAATGCCCCTGTCATTGTTCAGAATAGTTTGGATGCTTCTCTGGGGAAAACTGACATCAGCATTTGTTTATTAGATAACACAATAAAGTTAGTCTCATTCTACTGCAGCTATGCATCATTAATCACTTAACATAACATTCCCCAACTTGGCCTCAGCGTATTCCCCAGACTTGATTCCAAACAATTTTGATTCTTTCTAAAACTTAGTCTCTCTTAATAAATGAAGATTTGAGACCACATACAGCACTCAAAAAATGAGCTATAGGCTATTAAGAACTTGGTTTCAAATACATACACTGCAATTTATTACCTATGTGACTTTAAGCAAGTCATTTCAGTTTTCTAGGCCTCAATTCCTTCATCTAAAAAAATCAGAGGGATGAAAACAGAGAGAAAAACCCTGACTCAGGATTCAGAAGACCTGGATTTCAAACATACATCTTATGCTTACTATTTGTGTGACCATGGACTTAACCTCTCTGGGTCTCAGTTTCTTCATCTGTAAAATGAAATGATGGAACTAGATATCAATCTTAAATCTGTGATCCTATGATCCTGATTTTATATATGGTAGAGTGCTGGATTCAAAGTCAGAGGATCTATATTCAAATCTTGACTCCCACCCTTCCTATCTGTGACCTCAGGCAGGACACTTAAACTTTTTGAATTTCATTGTCTTCGTTTGTAAAATAAAAGTGTCATACTAAATGACCTATGTTCTGGTCTGAGCCTGATTCCAACCAGACCCCTGATAGTTTAAATTCAATATTGGAACAAATTTAGACTCTCCTAAGTTAATGAGATTTGCTTAGTCATAGAAGGAGAAAGATGTTGAAGAAGTATAGACATTGAAGACATTGAGTTGTTTCACTTGAATGAAGCTCCTTTGCCTGATTACCCATTGTACTCTACCAGACAAACTTTTAAGAGCACTGCTTCCTCATCCCCTGACCCTTATGGTTGCTTTTTACTTAGGTGATGAGGAAAAGGCATAAATAATCTGAACCCTTAGTCTCTTGAGCCAACTGAGTCTTGAGAAATGCCTCAGTACCATTTTAGGAAAAAAACTAGTCTAACCTACATCGGGGGGGGATAAAATACAACCTCTGAATTCCTTACCAGTTTTAAATCCATGATATGATGATCATACAACAGCTGATGTCCCTTCAAGCTCTAAATTTATGGTTCTATGAGCTTATGGTCATGTGAACAGTTATTAAATGTTTCTTAAATGTCCAGAACAGGCCCTTTCCCAAAGTCAAGCTGCAAATATGCTTAGATCAGTGTTAAATAAACACATAGCCTTCCAAAAAAACTATTTAAAGGGGACAACATTCATTTGAATGAATAAATTGCATTCCCTTACAGTCATAACTTGTAGGCACAGACACTTTGTTATTATTTGATGGGCTCAGAAAACTAGGTAAATAACTCTGTGATATCCCATAATTACTCTTCTTGTTCATCTCTAATATTATCTATATAGAACAATGTTACCAGCTGGGAAGGTTGAGTCTGGGGTTGCCATTCCTACTCTTATATATAAGTATTACTGTTGACTTGCCCATCCTGTGGCATGACTATAATTTTTTGGACCAGAAATGACAGTTCCTTCTAGAATTGCCTCCTAAGCCTTACTGTCTTGGTACTTTTTTGAATCTTCATATATTTATCAGGAAAACATCTTATTCTTCCTCTTCCTTTGACTGATATCAGCAAAAGATGGGTTGTCAAGGAACTATGTTCTGATTTGCAAAAATCTATGTTAGTGCTGAAAACATCAAATTCGACTGCTAGTTTAAACCAGAATCTATTTTCATTTGTTCATTACAAAAGTTTATTTTTCATTCTGCCATATTCCATCATTGTGGGTAGATTAATAGGCAGGGGAAAGGTTTAAGACCCTAGATAGACAGATAAAACATTTATTAAATACTTACTATAAATAATACAAATGTGAGGACATAAAACAATCTCTACATTAAAGGAGCTTATGTTCTAATAGGAAAAAAAAAACCAACAACAACACGAAAAGGGGAACTGGAAAAGTGAGGTTAAAAAAATAGGCACAGAAAGCTGAACCAGGAATGGCGTGAATATAGCTAAGGCCTCCTATGAAATGATGGTATTGGGAAGGGAGTCATCAGTCAGGTGTATGGTCCTCAGGGCACAAATATCTCCATAGAGGAAAGGCTGAGTACAAATATTTGGCTGGCATCTCTGTTAAAAAAGGGAAAGGGGCATTAGTTTTTCCCCTCCCCTCATACACATGCCACTCATTTCTTTTGAAGTATTATAGTGTTAGACTTGGACGTTCAGTTTAGAGGTAATTTAGTTCAATCCTCTCATTTTATAGATAAAAAAAGTTGAAGGCATAAGAGGTGACGTGGTCTGACTAAGGTCACATAGCTAGTTAATAGTTACAGGGTCAGGGGAAATCATTTCTAGTCATCCTGATCTATACCTTGCCACTGGACCCAGATGGCTCTGGAGGAGAAAGTGAGGCTCGTGACCTTGCACAGCCCTCCCTCACTTAAATCCAATTCACTTGCAAGTCATAGCATCATCTTCCTGATGTTGTGGTCCTCTTTGAGAACGAAGGACAAAAAACAACAGTCAGGACTTCAGAAGAACATAGGTCTCCTGACTCCAAGTCCCATGTGCTCTCCACTGAATCACATTTCTCTGCATTTTAGAGAATTGTCTTTTACTACTCTGATCATAGACTTAGAGTTACATAGAAATATTTGCCCCTGCATTCTTTGGTCCTAGATTGCTGTGTCTTTTAGCAGTCCCAGTCCCATCTGATTCTAGGTCCTTCAACTATTTGTGTGACCATGGACTTAACCTCTCTGGGTCTCAGTTTCTTCATCTGTAAAATGAAATGATGGAACTAGATAACAATTTTAAATCTGTGATCCTATGATCCTGATTTTATATATGGTAGAGTCACACCCAACCATAAATGATTCCTCCTTCCCATTTTTGTGAATTGCTTTCATACTGTCCTTGATTACTTGTAGTCTGGAATGATCTCTTTCTCAGTTTGAGCCAAGATGTTACTTGTGGGGCTTTAAGATAGAGACCTATAGTCATGTATCCCTATACACTCCCCAATTACCCTTGATTCCGAGCCCAGTTCCCTTTGAATTTCCAGAAAAATAAAAAGTCCATAGCTTTAGCCTTTCCAAAGAGAATGGCTTTACAGCTGTTTTTGACAGAATGTGGTATTCTTTGCTATCTCTCCACTATTTCCATTATTCACGTTTCCTCTATTGTTTTTTTTTTAATTGTCAAAAGGAGGAGAGGGGGAGATATTGATGTGGAAAAAGGACTGAGAAATCAGAAGACTCTGATTTTGTTTCCCTTAACTCTTTTAAATGCCTCTCCTTTAGTTCTCTCCCCCCCCATTCTACTGCATCTAATTGCATATGTATTACCATTTCAACTTTTTGAAATAGAAAGTCATTCACTGCTATTTTGATTGTTAAGGACATGCATTTAACAAGCCAGCAGACTTGGCTATTTACTAGTTTGAATATGTGGATCTTTTTTGTCTTTATTTAGCTGCCTTTTGTAAGTTGGAAAGCAAAGACTCTGGCTTCTATCTTCTCATTAAAAATAGATCCTTTCATGACTTGGGGATTCAGAGCCTGTGAGTCATCATCTCCAGTATCAAAGACTTGGGATGACACTCAATAGGGACCCAGCATCAAGGAGCAGAGATGGCAGCCTGGTGGTTCATGTTATCAACATGTTCCCTTTTTATTTCAGGAAGCTGGATGCTTTCATCTACGATGCTGCAGTGCTGAATTACAAGGCTGGGAGAGATGAAGGCTGCAAACTGGTGACAATTGGGAGTGGCTATATCTTTGCTACCACTGGGTATGGCATTGCCCTCCAGAAAGGCTCCCCATGGAAGAGGCAGATCGACCTGGCCCTTCTTCAGTTTGTTGGTGATGGTAGGGACTGGGCTATACCTTCCTTTGTTGTATTCTTCTTTGGGTTCTTTAGTGGTTTTTAATTGACTTCCTAATGAGTCTCTGAAGGCCTTGATAGGATATCTTTTTTTTTTTCTCAAAAAAACCGAAAGGTGCGGTGGTGTAGTACAAAGAGTTCTGAATTGGAAATGAGGAGATCCAAATTCCAGGCCAGTCTCTGCCACTAAGTAGAACTTGAATAATTGAACTAGCTCCACATTACCTCTTATGTCTTCAACTTTTTCATCTATAAAATGAGAGAATTGGACTAAATTATCTCTAAATTGAACTTCCAACTCTAAGATTATAATACTTCAAAAGAAGTATGAGTGGCATGTGCATGAGGGGAGGGGAAAAACCAATGCCCCCTCCCCTTTTTTAATAGAGATGCCAGTCAAATATTTTCTCCTTTTTGAACCTCAGTTTCCTCATTTGTGGAATGAGAGTAGGTAGTTTAAATGTAAATAATCTAAAATGAGAAGTAGATAATCTCTAAGTCTCCTTCCTTCTCAAGAACTCTTGAGTGAAGGCTTGAGGATGCATCTCCCAGCTCCCCTTCTTTGGATCACATTGGAGATTCCTTCCATGGCTGAGGTCTCTGATATGGTCATTAGTTCAAGCTAGCAGCAGAGTCTAAATAAATATCCTATGCTCTGCAGTTCAGCTGCTTGGATAACTCTTTCTTTAACTTTTCCTCCCACCTCTACATACCAGGCTCATGCATTAAATTTTCATGGCAGAAATTATAAAAATACTTAACCCATAAATTAGATAATGTATTTAACTAGCTAGCATAGGTTACTTGCCTTGTAAAGATTCTTCAAAGTGTGTCTAGAAGCTTCTAGGGGCATGATCCAATGATTGCCCATTTCCTCTGCCCCAAATCAAATTCTAAGTCACCCTTCTTGGTTGACCATTTGGTAGGTCCCATCTCACTGAAATCCTTAAACTTATTTCCCTGAGAAGCTGATAAGAGAGACATGTGTAACTTTCCAGAGTCCTTGTGTACCAAAAAGAATGAAGAAGAATAATTTAATCCCATTTCCAAAAAAGGTCTTTACCCAAGTTATGTGAGAATGAAGTTGTCTGTCCAATTCCTAAAGTCCTCAAGTGAAAAAAATTCCATACGTAGCTTCAGAACTGAATAACTACCATCATGTTTTGTCCACTGTCCTCAGAATGATGTCAACTAAACCCTTAAGGTTGTTGAGCAGAAAAAAACAAAACAAAACAAAACAAAACAAAAAGCAAAACCAGTAGTCCATTATGTAAAAGAAGGAAGATGAAGAACATAAATGTTGAGAAAGGCCACAATTTGGCTCAATGTATTTGTAGAGCATGGAAGCAGGGTAATGTACTGCTTTTGTTCAAATAGGTGCTTTTCCACCTGTAGGCCAGAAAATGGGGTTTGGAGTTTCCTGGTGGGAGGTGATGTCTTCTTGGCTCCACATGTGGAAGTCAGCTGGAGACAGGCGCATAGGAAAGGAAATGATGTTGGTACAGGGGGCATCTTAAGATAATCTTCTCCGAAAGCTGTGTCCAATTCTGAATGTCTCCCTAGGAGTAAATACATGAATTAACACAGCTGCATAAATATTTCACTTATCTTATGCTACTTCTGCAGGATTAATTATGCTCTAAAATTAGACCTGCTAAGGAGCAAAATGCCGAGCAGTAGCTAATTATTATTCATCTTCTAGAATGGAATGTTTAGCTCTTGTTATAGAGTAGCTTCATCGGACGATTATGAGTCTAATGAGTGTCAAAAGCATAAAAAAAGATTCCTAATGAGTTGTGTAAATATAACCTTTTGAGTGGAGAATTTATTTAATGGGAAAACCTCTTACACGAGGCCTGCCAGGCATCTTATATGGGATATAGGTTGCCATGTCTTGATGGGCATTACTGAGAACATTCCTTAAGTCAAGAGGCCACTTTCTTTCTCTTTACCTCAACACTTATAGCTGTGGCATATTTCAGAAGATGAGAAATATCAATGCATCCTTGTGTGACTCTTAGAAGTCAAGAGAAGCCATCAAGTATGTACTGAACCTCCTATGTGCTCATCATCAATTCATCAATAAAGATTTATTAAGTACTATGTGTTAGGCATTGTGTTGGGTGCAGGAGAGAAAGAATATGTAAAGTGAGATACAGGGAACTTGCGTACTGACTGAGAAGTCAGATGATCTACACATATTAAAAAGAAAAATAATAATATAATTCTTGTTATTGTGGGGGATACAACAGTATGAGAAACAGTGCTGACCTTTGAGAAATTTGAAGTCTTGTTGAGGAGACCAAGCTTATATATATATATATATATATATATATATATATATATATATAT